AGGGGAAAGACTGCAATAATGAGTTTAGGTAGAAGGAAATATGTGAAATAAAGTATTGGAATATTGGTCAAATTGAGGGGCAAAAAACGACGCAACAAAAACGACAAGGAAACATTACTTGATACCGAGATTGAACAAACTAGAAATGAATCTCAACGAAGAAATGTAGGAAAGAGGAGAAAAAAATCCCACCCTAGATAATTGGTTTTAACAGGATACGGCCCATAAAATTTCAGCCCAACCCTGCGAGGGTGTCCCTCGCATCCCCTCCTAATCATAGTGAGATAGCTTTCAGTACCTTGACATCACTTCTGGTTCTGGTTCTGGTAGTGTTCGTTGCTGCATCCATGTATGGGCATCTGTGCAACGGTTGGGGGTATGATGTTGCTTATTCTAACAGCTCCTAGCTGATGCCAGGGCAGCCTTGAAGCTTTCGACCGATGTCGAGTTCACAGTCACAGTGGCATTATCCAGGTGGTTCCTTTGAAGCATTTCCTATTGCCTATTGTTTCTGGTGTAATTGTTTAAGGGGATGTCAGGGGTGAAGTCAGTGTTCAGTGAGCGTTTTGCTCTGATCAGTCTACCCGGCATTTGTAGGTGAGGTACGTGCCTGCTGGGATGGCCGGCACCAGTCCCATGATCACTTTGTATAAGAATATCAGGCAGAGTCCCTCTCGTCTGTCTTTAAGGGGGGTGGGGGGGTCAATCTTTTTAAGAGGCCAGTGACGAAGCCAGAAGTGGTGGATTTGTAGTATCGAGCGATAAAACGCACCGCGTTAAGTTGAATTCCCTCCATCTTGTCCACGTCTTGCTTAAGTTGTGGATCCCAGATGACCGCACCATATTCTAGCAGTGGACGGACGAGTGCGAGATGGGCATTTCGTTTGCAGGAAGTTGGGCAGTGGCGCAGAATTCTTCGGATGAAACCTAGGGTGGAGTTGGCTTTTTTTTTAAATTTTGTTTATAGGGGGGTGACCATTTTAGGTTATTTGAGAAGAGAATACCAAGGTATGGATTATTTGTTACTTGTTGGAGGACTGTCTCGTTTAGTGAGTAAATATGAGTTGTGGGTTTTTTCTTGAGATTGTCATTGTGTAGCATTTGGTTTCATTAAATTTCATGCCCCATTTGTCCGCCCAATTCATAAGGCACTTCAAATCTGTTTAGATGTGGTTGTGGTCATCGTAGCCGTTTATCTGTCTGTAGACAAGACAGTCATCTGCTAACAGCCTCACATGAGATTTTACTGTATCGTGGAGGTCGTTTATGTGACACAGGAAAAGAAAGGGGCCCAGCACTGTGCCTTGTGGAACTCCTGAGTCTACGGTGGCTTTCCCTGATTGGACGCCGTCTACCACTACTTGCATGGTACGTTGTGTTAGGAATGTTGAGAGCCAGGAGTGAAGGTTGCCGGTAATGTCGCAGTGGTGGAGCTTATGTAGAAGAAGGCTGTGTGGAAAAGTGTCGAAGACCTGGATAAGTCAAGAATTGTCATGTCGATCTGGGTACCTTTATCATAGGAGGCTAGGAGGTCATTGGTGGTGATGATTAGTTGAGTTTCTGTTGAGAATCCAGAGCGGAAACCGTGATTTAGGTTGGTCCAAATGTTGTAGTGTTCAAGGTGGTTGATGATGTGGCGATAGATGATGTGTTCTAGGATTTTGCATGGAACGGAGGTCAGGGATATTGGGCAGTAGTTTGCTGGGTTATGACGGTCACCTTTCTTGTAGGCACTAGTGATGTTTGCATCAAGCCAGTCTAGAGCGAGTTTGCCGGAGTCAAGCGACTTTTGGAAAATGTGGATCATGGCTGGGGCAATGTTGTCTTCAGGACATTGCTCAGGATACAGTCAGGTCCGGGCGCTTTTTTTGGGGGGGGCTTCAGGTTTTTGAGAAGTTTGGCTACTCCTGTTTCAGTTATGTTGAGGGGGCCTATTTGGCCTACTTGGAACCGTTTGTCCAGCTGCGCTGAAATCATAAAACTTTAGAGACCTCCACTGACCCTTGATTGACCACTGCGGATATGATGTCCCTATAATGATTCTATGATGCCCCCATAATGATTATATGATGTCCCTATATGGATGTCGCTATGAAGATTCCATGATGACACTATAATGATTCCATGATGACCATACTATGATTCTATGATGTCGCCATAATGATTCTATGATGATTCTAGTATGACTGTATGATGATTATTTAATGATTCTATGATGATTCTATAAAGATGGTACAATGATTCTATGATTATTCTGTAATGACTCCACCGTGAAGACATTATACCGACTTCACGATGTTCCCCATTATGACTACACGATACCATAAATAGCGTTATTGGATGATGGTAAGACTCGCCTCCTCACCTACTCACCTCGCTAACCTTCACCATTTTTAGAATGCAGGGTTAGATGAGGTGGGGTTTTTCAATCGTGTATTGTTTTTTTTATTAATAGTTTGCCTTATTTTGCACAAGACTGTGTAGTCTATACGGATGCGTTTTGCTGGCGAAATATTTATGAATGATTAAGTCCTCATCATCTCCCATAATGTTTCATTCTTTGTTCCTTTGAAGTAAAACTGTCCTAAAAATCAAATTATCCTGAACATCAAATTATCCTAACATCAAATTATCCTAAACATCAAATTATCATATACATCAAATTATGATCACTCACAGACGAAAACAGTTTAGTGGGCGTCCATTGCTTATGTCAACAAAATGGGGGGAGGGGGTGGAAATGTTTGACAAGTGTTGACAAGGGGAAGTGGGGTGTTTGATTAATTGACGTCAGCAATCAATTTTTCTCAATTAAAATTTGAATCTTAAAAAATGACTGTTTATTTCACTATTTTAAAAAAAAAATGAATGGGTGTAAATTAAAATAGTTAAATATTTTTTTAGGCCTTTAACCATATAAGATGTATTTAATGTGTGTCTGTAAGTGCACTGCAGATTGCTGGTTAGAAATGTTAGCACACTTTGTTAGTGCAAGAGAAGTCAAAAGTTGACATCTCCTCACCTGTAGCTTCTGTTGGTCGCAAATGACTGGGGCGGTATTTTTACGATCTTGTTGCAGGTATGGAACAAGGACAAGGTTTAAGTGTCATGTGCAGCCAAGATAAATGATATTGATAGAGTAGGAATACGATATTTTGAGAATTATGGGGGAAAGCAAAGTGAGTAACAAAAATAACATCGCTGCTTGAACGGATTTGCAAAATCTGTAACATCTATTTTGCATCACAAGTCATGTTGGAAAAAGCATGTTCGACAGCACCGACAGCACCGACAGCACCGACAATGCCCTCTTGAGCATAAGAAATTACCCCCTTCTCCTCATCAAAAAATATTGCGAGTACCTGGAGACCAGAGAGTTGATGGCAATTATTGATCACACTGAAAATGATTCTATTTTAAGTGCTGAATAGTTAGAATAGGAGGATGTTGACTTGTCTGGTATATCAGTTCCGCGTGATGAAAATGATAAATCAGCTACTATGCCCATTGTTATGACAGAGCAATTATGAGAGAAAAACCTGGCTACTCCCTGGGAAGATGATAACAACTAGAAACTATACTACAATTGTCCTATATACTGACAATAATCATATTTATACTTCCACACAAAATAATATTTAGTCTTTAACAAACTTTTAATTGATTCAGCATTATAAAATTTAAGTGCAAAAATACTTTTTAACGTAATTTTTTTTTTCAAGATTTTATTTAGGTGTTTTGATTCTCAATTTTAAAAGTAATACCCTGGAGCAGCGGGGTATCCATCCCCGTACCTCTCACATGCTAAGCGAGCGCTCTACCACTTGAGTTCCAGCCCCTCATTATATCAGTGATTGTGAATTTTCCTATATAAATTAATTAAATGAGTGTTATTTTTCCTTGATCTAAGCATTGAAAATAGGCAGCAATATTACTTTTACTATTTGAAACTAAAATTTCGGAGCAAACTCTTTTAATGGCCAAATGAGTTTTTCTCTTCATGTTCTCTCTCTCTCTCTCTCTTTCTCTCTCTTTCTCTCTCTTTCTCTCTCTCTCTCTCTCTCTCTCTCTCTCTCTCTCTCACTCACTCACACTCTCTCTCTCTCTCTAAAATTTCTGAGCACACTCTTTTAATGGCCAAATGAGTTTTTCTCTTCATGTTCTCTCTCTCTCTCTCTCTCTCTCTCTCTCTCTCTCTCTCTCTCTCTCTCTCTCTCTCTCTCTCTCTCTCTCTCTCTCTCACTCACTCACACTCTCTCTCTCTCTCTCTCACATTCACATTCTCTCTCTCATATTTACAATCTCTCTCTCTCTCACACACACACCCACTCACACACTCTCTCTCTCACACATTCACATTCTCTCTCTCATATTTACAATCTCTCTCTCTCTCTCTCTCTCTCTCTCTCTCTGTCTCTCTTACATGCACGCAAAAAAAACATTAATGTCTCATCCGTAGAAAGTATTGCAATGTTTCACTTTCTAACAATTTCTTTTCTTAAAGTTTAATTTAAAGTAATATTCTAATTCTAATGAACTTAAGTTAAAATCATTGATTCTTACTTATTATGCTTGTCCGTTCCTTGGTGATGTTTATATTAAATTTAAAGTAGGCGTGATGCCATTGACATTTTAGCAAAGAAGAGGGACAGGTAGGCCTAGATATTATCTCAGATATGTGTACAAAATTAAATAAAAATTGAATGTAAGGGAGATTAAAATTATTTAATAACTTGTATTAACTTGCAAATTATATTTTAGAGTGCTCTTCCATGGAACACGAATGAAATTATTTTATGATTAATTCTTGATGGTTAAAAATACTTTATCACTGCTGAAATCATTAAATAGTTCTGTTTGTCTTCTTAGTTAGTTCTTAATTTTATTCTACTCAAGCATCTCCATAATCTTGTAAACCATATTTAAGTAAACTGATTCCTCATTAAATAAAATAATAACCTCCATTCCTTAGCAACCAAATGGATTCTTCCGATCACTACAACATCGTCCGCCATCTTTGTTGGGCTTGGGTTGGCGGCCAGAGTAACGGTTTAAGTTTCAAATTTCTTTCTCAGATTTGAAAGACAATTCAAACTTTTTTTCTCTTTGCCAGCATTCAAAATGGTAATTTTAGACATTTAAATGCATTGTTTCTCTATCATTTGGGTTTAGTGTATCTACAAATTTAATGGACAACCCATTCAATCAGTCTTAGAGTCTAGAGAGAGCATGTTTGGCAATGTTTGGTAAATATTAAATTTAGTGATGCTAAACCAGACGTAAATAACATTTGATGAGTTTAAATACACTACCATAATTTAAAATTGTATTAACTGGTGTTGATATTTACGTTATTTTTATATATAAGTATAAGAGCCAGAATGTTATGAAAAGCAGTTTTATTATTTAAATTTAGTTTAGTAAAAATTTAAGTATAATTTATAATAATAATAAATTATTAGTAATGAAATCTTAGATGTCTTAGTCCATTTATATTATTGCCAGGTCCACGTTTTTTAATCATATTCATAATCATAATGACATGACCATCCAAATGCCATATTATTAATTTTTAATATTAGAATTATTTTTTATGTTATTACATTTTTTAATCAATGGGAGTCGCTTAGTCGATTGTTTTGTCACGTGATGAGAGTAAAAACGAGTAAGACTTCTGGGAGGCTGTATTCAACACACTAGTGCTTGACAACAGAAGCCGTTACACACTACAACTAGTAATTCATGATGCCTAGGCAATGTTCGGCTTTTGGATGTACAAACAGTTAAGTTAAGGACAGAGGTATAAGTCTGCATAAATTTCCGCTTAAGGATAAAAAAAATTTAAGGCAATGGCTTGACAAAGTGGATCTTTGTTAATTATTCACATGAAATCTTGTTCCAACCGGTTATTAAAATATGCTTTCTCCGCACAAATATTTATTAAACACGCAAATGACGTCATGGGTATGCCGACATTTCGTCCAATGAAAATTAACAATAAAATAAACAAAGGGGAATGAATCCTGCACAAATATTGAGTAAACACGCAAATGACGTCATTGGCACGGAGCTCATCAACAGCCTGCCGATGATAGTTCCCATCGAATATCGCTCACAAATTTTTCTGGAAATAACTTTCTTCCTTTAATTGACATAACTTTCTTCCTTTAATCATAACTGACGTATATTTATTGTCACATTTATGTATTTCATTTAAAAAACATGTGTATTCCAGAATATTTTGAAAGGTAAAATTTTTAAGTAATATGACATTGGGGAAGCACTGATGAAGTATCTTTTGTTGTGTGTAGCAGCCTAGTGATGGCTTACTCTCATCACTTGACCAAACAAAGAAGTGACTAAGCGACTCCCATTAAAATTGTTATAGTAATAGTATAGCTAAGCAGCTAAGACCTAGACTCTAATTATAATATTAGTCTTAATTCCATTTAAATGATGCTTAAACTTACATCATTTGCAAATTATTAATGAACCTCTTCTATGGTAAAATTGCTATTGTCAATAATATAGAAAATGTTATTTTATAGGCAATGGCAAGGAGGTCACAGCGGGCAGACCAGGCAGCTTTTCAGAAACAATTGGATAAAGATCGCCAACGTGAAATGGATTTAAGAGATTTGGCGCAAGAGAAAAAAATGGCTCAGTATTTTGAGGAGAACATACAGAGAGAACAAAAGGTTTCAATAATCAACTTATTCTTGATATAATTTTTATTAACTTAGGTAAAATTTCATGATTCTGTTTATGGTGTTTTGAGGTTATCTATTTTCAAGTCTCTTGGGTAAGATAACTTTCTTATCTGTCTTAAAGGTGAACATGTCAGCCCCCCACTCCCCCCATTAATTCTTTTTAAATATTATAATGTTTAAACAAACTTAATTACTGTAATTTTCTAATCAGTCACATATTTTTTAACTCTGTGACCCTTATTCGTACTGAAACAAGCACACCTCAACCCTTGATCACAAATAGATACTTCTTACATTAATTTGGCAAACAAGACTTCTAGGAATAGCTTTTCCTATAGTTTGTATCAGTAAACTACTTATTGAAGGGAAAACTAGCATTTTATCAAACACCCCTTAAAATTTGTCTCCTCTACTGACATATACTCAGCTGTCACTATTTAAGTTTCTACAGCCAAACACAACATAATGTTTCAATTTGGTTACTAAAAAATTTTTCTACCCTAAAAAAGAATGCTTCATAATTTTTCCCATAGGTTCAACAAAGACGGTTTATGAGGCAGCAGCAAGTTATGAATAAAGAAATTGAGATGAATGAAGCAATACTGAAGGTGAGCATTCCCAAAACTCAATGATTTAACCACTTGATTTTTTTAAAATGTGAGCAGCTATTAGCTGTGACTAGTTTGACATTAACAGCTATTATCTGGTGTGGCCGGGTTTGGCATTACCATCTATTATCTGGTGTGGCCAGGTTTGACATGAAGAACTATTATCTGGTGTGGCCAGGATGGACATTACCAGCTATTATCTGGTGTGGCCAGGTTTCATGTACAATCGAAACCTCATGCAGATTTTGTATGTCTATTGCCAGGCAGAGAGAGACCGCATCTTGAGACAACAACAGATAGAGCAAGAAGAAAACCTAGCACGGGAACTTGAACGGGTGAAGTCAGAGCAACTGAGAGATGAAAAAATGAGGCAGCAAATAAGAGAGACCAGGTGAGATCATTACTCTACTGAAAATAAACAGTTAAACTGTACAATTTCAACTTGTGTTGACGCCATCTTGTATCTAAATCTGTAGGTGTTTTGTTTTTTTTTGGATTAGAGGGCCTCAGAGATGAAATATGCACTTTTAGAAATGGGTGGAAATAATTTTCATAATGAAATCTTAATAAACCTATTCAACTCTGTAACGGCCTAATCCGGGTGGTACTGATTCAACCCCGTAACATCAGAATCTGACCATTTAACTCTCTGTTTACACATTGCTATGTAGGAAGTGGACATCTTGCATTTAAATGAAAATCTCGCTAGAAACGAGACAAGTGGAGATTACTGTCTTTTAAATATTTTTGGATTGAATGGGTTGACGCTGAAAACTATTTGCTAATGGTAATTTCATGATTAGACAAATTAATTTTTCTTAACTTAATTTTTTTCTAAGTCTGGAGCTGAGAGAGCTGGAGGCCAAGCTGAGGGCAGCATACACCAACAAGGAGAGGGCGGCCCAGATGGCAGAGAGAGAAGCCATGAAGTACGATGAAATGGTAAGTTAAACAGTGTTGGAATTTGACTTTGACACTCAATCTCTGCGTGACGCAGATCTGCATTTATGTTACAGAGTGACAAGAAAGATTAGTAAATGTTGTGCATGCCAATGTAAATGTGTTTGCTGCCTTCCTAAATGGGTGATCAACAATTTTTAAATGAAAATGGCTTGCTAAATTCAGATTTTCATCAAATTTGAATTTGATAGAAATTTATATGTAGTCAATGATAACAATGCTTACTTTGGTGTAAAAACAATTATCATATATCTTAATAAAGTTCATGAGTTTACTATTTTATATACTTCTGTTTCACTGTATCGGAGTTACATGAGGTTAGAAGTGGTATTTTCTAATTGAATTATGTATATATAAATTGTTACTTTTTAAAAAATGCAGATTTTCTTCTTTTACTGACAAGAGAGTCACAGATAATTTTGACTTATTTTATAAAATGGCATTATTATTTTTTGTATTTCTTTTTAAGTAATGCTAATAATTTGTATAATACATATAAGTGACCATGTTGAACTGCAGCCATTTGCTTTAATTAACACACACAAAAATTTAATATTCAAGAAACGAGACTCAGAAATCGCCCGGTTCATGAAGGAACAGAATGAGAGGGCAGAGGAAGCTGAACACCAGAGAGAGCTTGAAAAGCACAAGGAGATGGTGAGTTGATGTGTTTTTTTTTTCTTTTTCTTCCTTGCCTGTTCAGCTCCCAGTGGAGCATATGTCATTAAAGCCTCCCGGTCTCTAGCTATCTCCTCTAACTCTTTTCAGCTCTGTCCAGTTGCTGTGTTGAGAAGTGAAATGTACCTTAGGAATTGAGGAACATGAACAGATGTTAACATGTTTTGCTGAGATTAATCTTGTTGGCATTCAACTTATATAGATGTAAATTTATCTCAGGTTGTGGTTTTTAATGAGGTTTACATTAATATGTAAACCAAATGTCCTCAATTTTATCATTAGTGGATCGCATTATGATATTTTAACCAATAAGTTGTTAAAGTTACCACATGAAAAATTCCTAACTAAGATTTTTAACATTAAAATAAATGCTACCCCAATATATTTTGTGATCGACAGACACGCTACCAACAAGAGCTGGAGAGACAGCTAGAGGAGCAGGAGGCACAGAAGCAACAGGCCTATGAGGAGTTCCTCAAGGAGAAACTTATGATTGACGAGATTGTGCGCAAGATTTATGAGGAGGATCAAAAGTAAGGACTTTATAGATTGTATGGTTTGATTTTCCAAACTTTTAAGTTTGGCTTAACTAACGGGTGGATCAGTTTCTCATTGCACCACCAATCTGTGAAATTTATTTTGTATCTCTTTGTTTGTCATGCACACCTGCAACATAAACTTGTTGGTCAGTGTAGCCACTTTGGGAAAAACTATTCAGGACAGTATTGTTTGCCTTTGCATGCCGGGTGGCGGAGTGGTTTAAACTGAGTCAATCCCAAGCTTGTGGACAGGAGTTCAATCCCCAGCCTAGACAAGCAAAAACAACAGCATCTCTGGTGGGTGGGACTGGTTAACCTTGGACGGCAACTCATCTAAGAGAGGGCAAACTCTGAAATCAAACTCGAAGGTGGAATCCCATAGGCACTATGATATTGACACATGAAAATTCAGACCACTAATGGGACTGTCCTTTAATGCTAGAGTTTAACACTTGTTTCCTAATCAGGTTAGGCTACTACCAGCCGAGAGCATCTATTGTAAGAATGTCAATAGGAGCACCGCACAATATTTCAATATAGTACTCATTTTATTTTGAAATGTCAAAGAATTTTTTACAATTTAATATCGACTTAAAGCCATCGGACCACCCCTGATCTAACACATGTCTGTTCATTCCTGCCCTGACAGAGAGCTGGAGAAACAGATGAAGAAGCGCCAAGTTACCCAGCAGTACATAGATGAGTTCCAAAAGGCCAGGGAACTCTGGAAGGTGCAGGAGAAGCAGAAAATGGAGGAGGAGAACCAGAGAATCTTGCGCTTTGCCCGCCAGATGCAGGAGAGAGAAGACTTCCTCAAGTCACAGAAGAAAGAGAAAGACAGCGTCATGAACAAAGTGCAGGATGCGGTAGGTGGTCTTACTTTTTATTTTTAAGAGAAGCAATACAAGTGGTACAGTAGAGCAGTTATTTCTATGGCTACCTCCCTTGGTAATTATTTCCCAAACCAAACATGATGTTGTTGCCTTGCATTGTTTATTTTCTAAACTGTGCTGTAAAGTGAAAGTATCATGGAATAAAATTGCTGGGATTATTCTTATTTATAGATCCGGGCTTTTCCAATGTAAAGGGTTCATTTGATTAGTTTTAGTTCAGAAGTTCAAATTATAAGTGCATCCGAGGTAAATTTTTATCTCAACTTTAAAAAAAATGTAAAGCTTATCTTTTTAAGTTGATGACATTTAAGACAATTTTTTGTTGCATACATTGCCCTCAATATAGGGCATTTCAACAGCCTTACTCAATTTTTTTTCACTTATGACTTTCCTTTGTTCTATTTATTAGCTCGCTCAGGAAATTGCCAGGAAAGAAGCCGAGAGAGCCGAGATGGAGAGAATACGCTTGGAGCTGGTCATTGAGGAGACAGAGGAGAGGGAGAGACAGAAAGAGATGGTAATACATTCTAATTAATCAAAAATTTAACAGTGAGACATTGATCTGTTCGCTTTAGCTACACTTAAACAGTTTTATAGTCTCATCTGGTTCTTGAAAAAGAGGACAAAACAATTTATTTAAACATCTGATAATTTTGAAGCTTTTGTTGTGTGCTTGGTAAGATTAAAGCTGTTTCTGCATAGACTGATTTTATTACCTGTTTATCTGCCTAACAGGGGCTTTGAATATTTCTTGATTTGTTTTTCATCATATCATATAACAGGGGACCGTTCATTTTTAATATGTGTTGGATGAAATTTTCTATCACTAGGCACTTCAACTGTTGTCAGTGTGAAATAAAAATCTAAGCTTTAATATGCTGGGAGTGACTTTTTTATAGTTTGATATAAGGTTCCTGATTTAAAAGCTATTAGTTGTTTATAATGTTGAAATGGTATTTTACAATTTTTGAATTTTTTCTCCGCTGTGCTTCTTCAGGCTGATATGGAGAGGCAAATCAGACAGAAGATTGAGTTACAGTCAACGCACGCACAACAGATGCACTTCAAGGCGCTACGTCTGGAGGCCGAGAAGGAAGAGGAGGAGGAGTTTAAGAAACAGGTTTGTCTGTCTGGGGGTGAATGTTTGTCTGTCTGGGGGTGGACGGCTGTAGGTTATTATGAAGACAGGACTTTGTCGGTTTGATCAGGACAGGACTTTGTTTATGTTGAAAGGACTCTGTTTTATGCAGACAGGACTGTTTTTGTTGGTTTGTAAGTATATGTACTTTTTTGGTTTTACCTAGACTGAACTTTTTTGGTTTTATGCAGACAGGACTTTGTGGTTTCGGGTTCACTTCTTACCATCTCAAAAAAAAAAAATGAAAACAACAGACTGTGATTTCATGTTATCAAACTGTCACAACATCAGTACTTATATAGCTATAAATTAAAAGTGGTAGTTCACTTTAATTTTTAATGTTGCAAATGTCATCCCAGTTCTGCTTTCAATCCGTCCACAGTGCATTCAAAACAGTTTCATTCTTGTGGGTTGGTAATGGAACTTGCTTTATTTTTCTTCATAAAATAGTTTTTAAAAATAAAATAATAAAAAGCTTGTTTTAGATCATTGCTTACATTTTTCATTATCTCCAGATGATGGCAAAGTTTGCTGAAGATGACCGCATCGAACAGATGAACGCACAACGCCGCCGCATGAAACAGCTGGAACACCAGCGGGCCGTTGAAAAAATGCTGGAGGACAGGAGGGTGCAGTACGCCCGCGAGAGGGAGGCGGAGGTGGAGGCCAGGCTGGAGGAGGCCAGGCTGGAGAAGTTCCGTAAGATGATCATTGAGGAGGAGAGGCAGAAGTTACTCAAACAGCACGCCATCAAGCTCCTGGGGTACTTGCCACGGGTAAGTTGAATAGCTGATAATTTCATTTGCTGATTAATTTATTAGTTCCTCACAGCACTTTGTTGATTAGCATAGAAGCTGATTAGCTGCACAGTTGATTCAATTTATTGCAGGCAAGTGAATTTATTTAATAAATCCTGATACATGAGAAAGAGCTTGAAAAGTGTTTAAAAATGTTACCTAACATTGGTACATTCTCATTACAACTGCAGCGGTCTTTGACCAATTAGTCCAATGACCTTACACAGTAATAGAATATTTCAATTGATTTATCATCATTACCAGCATGTTCATTTAAATGTATTCTCATTACTAGCATCTTAATTTAAATTAGAGACAGACCGAAAGTGATTTTCTGATTTCGACCGAAACTTGGCCAAAATTTAAAAATGACTTTTGGCCGAAACCAAAAATAAACCGAAAGTTAACATTTCAGTTTCGGCCAAAGCCGAAATTAAAGCGAAATTTAACTTTTTGATTTTGGCCGAAACTGAAATATTTAGGTATTTTGAAATTCGTCCACGCACATTCTACATAGATCAAAAAAGGATGGGGGAAGTATTAATATTTACATTCTTTTTTTTTTTAAAATGAGATCATCTTGAATATTAATAAATTAACATTTAATTAATACTTTGGCTTTTTCTATTTTAATTTAAAAGTAATTTAAATTTCTTAAAAATGGTAAGAATGTTTTTTTTAAGATGTTTGAAAAGAGAAAATTTGGAGAGGGGGGGGCAAAATTCATTCAAAATATTCCCTTGAGTACCCTTTCCTTTTATAGTAAAATTACAATCTAGAACATATACAGATAATAATTATTGTGGCTCTAATAAAGCCAATTGTCACCTAAATATCCATTATTAAGGCCGTAGAAATATCACCACAATTTTTCGTGGTTTTTGTCATACTAATGCTTTGTGTTTTCATAGATATCCTTGTATTAATATTTAGCATAGTTCCAAAACATTAGTCTTACCTTGCTGGTGATGTAATAATTTTGTTCGGTGACCAACTTCCGTCACCTCCCTAGATGAGGGAGATTTTTTTTAACCTGGTCTCTTAAAATAGTTCTTCTGAAGGGTCTCGACGGAGAATCGCAAGACATCTGAAATTGGTAGCCTAATCATAAAAGTAGAAAGGCCTGCTGTAGGCCTACTACATATTTATAATACAAGCTAGTGATACATGCACACACATGTTATTTCGTCAATAAAAATGTTTATGAGGATGATAATGATGAATTTCAAGAAATGAAAAAGCCTAGGTTTCCTTAATTTTTAAAAAAAAAAATTTTTAAATAATAAGATATACCATTCCCATGGATTATGCAATATAATTCACCTTTGCCTATGACAAAATTGATGAGCATGATAATGATAAATCAATATGAGTATCACAAATGAAGGAATTGAATAAAGCTAGGGTTCCAAATTTTATTTTTGAAAAAATTAAAACAAAAATAATGATATAAAACATTACCATTCCACTAGTTTTTCTTCCACAAACTGTTTACATTTGCTTAGGCCTAATTAAAATTTAATTTTTTTTAAATAAAGGACAAGTAGGTCATCATGCAGCTTTGAGCAGTTTTCGCAGAGTATTAGTCATATAGAATACAATGGCAGCTAGACATCCAGCAATAATGAATATCGGATTGCCAGCCTAGAGACAGAGAGTCAGACCTCTGCTAGATGACCGAAATTAAACCGAAAGTTAACATTTCAGTTTCGGACGAAGATGAAATTAAACCGAAATTTAACTTTTTGGTTGCGGACGAAATTGGTCAAATGGCCACTTTCGGCGCAGAAGCCGAAATTTGGTCGGTCTCTAATTTAAATGTATCATCATTACCAGCATTTTAATTTAAATGTATCATTATTTCCAGGGCGTTATTCGAGACGAAAATGATCTAGAATTGTTGGGACCCGAGTTTAAAAATGCTTATTCACAGCGATACGTCGACCCATTTGATGAGACTGCATGGAACACAAAATGAGGATGTATAGATGTAAATATGATGAAACAAACATTGTTGATGAACTCTTAATTTTATTTATTAAAGTTTGAATGTGTTGAACAATTGAGGCTGAGGGAGTTTTTGCATGTTTGAGTAAAAGCTTTACACGTTTGGCGTTTGTACCACAACTTGAGATGATGAATTTGTTTTGGCGATTATCTAATTATACTGGGGGTTTTTTTTATGTCTGTGATTGTTAAAAGGGAATGAATAATGGGGGGGGGGGGGGGGGGTAATTTTTGTTTGATGCATAACTTAAGAGAAGTGTCTTTAATATTTAGCTACAGTTTACTGGTGGACCTAATTGGTTGGACTTCTTAGATTTAACATTTATTTTATATACCTAGGAGGTTCTAGACATTTATAAAATTGTTGAAAACTTAACACAAATCCTATTGTTCTCTTCAATTAAAACACTTTTCAAATATTTATATTTGTAATATCCTGTAAAGCATCAGAAGACAGAACAGTCTGTCAATTAATTTTATTTTTTTTAATAACTGACCAAAAGTCAATTCTTATTGTAGCAATGGAAGAAATATTAGGTTGATACCAAGATTCTTTCAATGATGTCGAGATTGAATTAATCAATCTAATTAAAGATACAAAGATTATGCTTTTCTTTTGAATAACAAAACTGTTATCTGTCTATGATGGAGTGAATTTTTTAAAATGTTTATTCATACATAAAGCTTTTTTATTCTGTTATGGGTAAGTGCTCATTTGGTTGCTTTTGCTGTTTGTATTTATATACAAAAATATTTTTTTATCGTAGATTTTTTTTAAAAAGTATTTAAAGCATTCCAGATTTAAATTCAAGACTAACTTGGTCCAAGTTGACGTGGTTCAAATTTATTTCTTTTGAATATGACATTTCTGATATTCAGTATTATTTTACGAATTTCACTTAATTAAAATGAGTTCAGTCATTTTATAGTGTTAATAAATGTAAACTTATCACAAATCAGGAAAATAAAGTGGAATAATTAAGCAGTGATATTAAAAATATTTGATAGCCCCAACAATTTCTAAGGCTTTCAAAAGTCATCAGAAAAAATATAATTTTCTTTTTTGTTTATTATTATTATTTAATGAGAGAGTGTTTTGATGAAATTATCCAAATATTTTGTATCTTAATTCAATACACCTCACAATTTATTTGTGTATAAAATATAAAGCAGACATTATTTGTGAGCTACTTTTAGAAATTTTTTGATAATTTGCATTACTTATGTACAAAAATGTTAACATCTCTCTAGTATAAAACCTCAAAACCTCTTGAACCAAATAATTTTATACACATTTATTTTTTACCTTTCTGCATGTTGATTTTTCTTACTTCAAAGAAAAAAATTAAAGAGTTTTATTATTTTCTATTTGCATTATGGCCCTTGTAAATTGATTCAGCTGGCTCAAATTTCTTTTTTTTTTCAATACAATCTTGCATCAATAAAATATTTTGTTTATTTAATGCAATGATCTCAGTAGGTTTAACGAAAGAAGAAAATATCTTAACTAAAGTGTCATTTCATTTACTGTACCGCAATGTTTAACTGGACTTAAGAAATGTAAATTTTTTTAAAACTCAGACAACTCTATGAACAATGTTTCTATTTGTGTTTTACAGTATCTATTATACAAAGGATTTATCAACATCCTGGAACTTGAGACTATTATTTTGTTAATATCAGCATTTTGTGGCATGTTTTGTGGTAGAGAGTTTTATTATCTAAAGCTTATCTCTTCCAGCTGACCATGATGACACAAGCTAATGAAAGTTATTTAATTTTTAAAAATTTTACTGAATCACATATGAGTGGTATTTCAACAGTGATGTGTTATATGTGAGATAAAGATCTAGAATGTAAATATATATCACCTAAATAAATGAATTTTAAAATATTTTATATTGCAGTCATTTTATTTGTTTGTTGTTTTTTTTGTGGTGCATGAATAAATAAAGATAATTGTATATTTTGCTTTTGTCAATAAGAGCTGGAAATATCTATTTTTCATTTAAAATTAATCAAAGTTATTTACAAACAAATCAGGCATGCTACTTGCAGTAGTCGTCACATATAGATATTTTTGAAAATATATTTTATTTTCAAGTTGTCCGAAAGAATCACTGGATTAAAATTATTTATTTAGACTTGCAGACACATTATTTTAAGTTGGGAAAATAGCCCAAAAAATAGTGAAATTAAATACAATCTTTGACATTCATTTTAAAAAAAAAAAATTTAATCTATAATTTGAAATAATTTTTTTTAAATATTTGAAATATCCAATTTAAAAAAGTGACCCTGAGCCCTTAAAAGTTCATGGGCTTAAGCCGGATAATTTACTTTATTAGCAAAGTCTTTTTCGTTAAAATAAACAAATTTAGATTGGTTAAATTTAAAGGTATTAGAAATTTTTATATTATTTAAAAAAAGAACAAGTTGAATAAATTTAAAATTATTTTTACTGCAGCTAGTTTTATACCTTTGCCTTTGTAATCAAAATTAGGTACAAATGTGATATAGAAGGTTAAAACAAAACAACAAATTGAGAATAAAATAGTTTAAAGAAACGTAACTGTTGTATTAGCAAGGCTGAGAATTTCACGAGTTGATGTTATTCTTTCGTAAAACTCATCAATCGACGGTTCAGTCTGAAATTTGATAAAAAAATTAGAATGTTTATTTTTGTTTTGTTAAATCTATTTTAGAAATTGTTTTTATTTTTAACGTAAACATTTGAATGGAAAAACAATATTTTAAACACTATTATAAAAAAAAATTTTTTTTGAAATTTATGGGATCTTTATGTGTTTGAACTTAAGAAGCCTGCGCTTGTTATTAAATTAAACTTTTAAACCTAACTTACCGTACTCTTTTAGTATTGATAGATGGGAAAGAAATCCCTTTTGAAGAGCGCACGCACGTTTATTGTGTGTGTGTCACGGTCAATACTCAAAGTCGGAATACGTCTTTCAATTAAAATAAATAGCTCTCAAAATTCGCTTTGCAGTCCATTAAAACATGAAGTTTTTAATTAAACACCTTTTTTATAGCCTCAAATGACGTTTCTTGTGTGTGACAAGGCTCTTTTCAAATTCACATGAATGTTAACAAATAATATTTGTTTTCCCCCTAGTTTGTAAAAGTGTTATTAATATATGTGTTTGTGTGTGTGCTTGCGTGTGTGTAAGCGTGCGTGAGTGTGTGCGTGCGTGCTCGTGTGTGTGCGTGTGTTTGTTTTTATTTTCTTTACGGTCAAAACACAACCGGATGTTTAATGACTAGTTTAATCTATACAAGTTATAGCATGACGTAACGCAGGTCAGTGCTTCTAAAAATACACATGGTCGGGGACCAGTTGTTTTTTTTAAATTGCTTTGCCTCCAACCAAGGGTAGGTGGTGCAAGAAGGGATTGTGGAGTCTAGATCCTCCCCAAACGGCGCCTTGTTCTGTACGTTTGTTTGGTTTCGCTTCCTTTTTTGGCCGTCGAAGGGAAACGGCAAAAAGTTTTTTCCCACCCCGGGCGGAAACAATTCTAGCTACGCCACTGCTCAGCGTTATTGTAGAGATGCAGTGGATCTGTTAGCTACATCTATTAAAATTATATTTTTTAAAAATTGTAGACCTATGTACCACGACAAATAGTGGGCAACTGGAGAACTTCGGAACACACTTTGAGCAGCACCGATGAAAGAGAGGTTGTCTCCGTCATAACTATATGTGTATAGAGCGTGACAAATCTCAATCAATGAACAATGAAAACAACGGAGTGTTGGCCATATTGACACCCACTTGACCCAGTCAAGGATTCATAACTACACAACGATTTGAACGGAGGAGAAACAACATAACAAAAAATGGGGGGGGGGGGGGTATTATGGTTCCGGTTTAAATGTATTGAAATGTTGTCTCATAGATAATTCCGGGAGATCCCATAATTGGTGGAAGGGCTGTGACGTCATGTGGCCTACGTGACGAGCGGGGCGTTCCCAGTCAGCTCGCGGGCCTATAAAAAGAACGGGGAAGGCACGTGGTATTTTATCCAATGCTTTTTTTTTCCGCCTAGATTCACGTTTATATTTAAAACAAATTAGAACAGAGATAAGAGACAAACTGGTGATAAAAAAAAAAAAATTAATACACAGAACATTTTAAAGGTGACCTTCATACATCTTGTATGTCTCTGAGTAAATGCGACTGTTGAGTATTTGGGGCCCCTTAGTTTGAACCGAGTTCTGCTCTGTTAAAGGATATTTCGCACTGAGACAAAGAAGCGCGCTTTTATTTCTGCGGTTGATTCGCTTGGCAGATTCGAAAAGGTAGGATGTTATGGAGCGTAGTTTAGGTTATAGTATTCCTCTTGTGGTTGTTGTTGCTGCTGCTGTATTTTCATCATTATTTTTTAACTCCCTCATTTTTCAATTCTTTTTTTTTTTTATTTTATGAAATTTTAATTTAAATAATTATATCAATTTTTAGGCCAACACATTGTTTGATTGTGGGATGCAATGACTATAAGAAATACCTTTGTTTTAGAAAATTATTAATTTTTTTTTAGATCTCATTTTCGTTCTTATTAGAAAATATTACTCGACAGAATGCATTGAACAAAATCATCTACAATAAATGGCCCAAGAAGAATTCAGGGAGTGGGGGGGGGGGGGGGCACCC